TGGCATGTATAATTATGGATCTTATATACACATTAAAAATGTAGAGTTTGATTTTGAGAGGAAGCAGGCTGTGTTAATTAATGAAAGGACATAGTGAAAATTTTGCTCCAGATRCTTTCTGTAAWTTTTTTTTTTATATGATTGATGAAATTCAGTTTGGATTCAATGGTTAATCCTAAATATTTGACTGTATTGGACCAGTAATCTGGGTATTCCCAAAATGTATGGTTGTGACTTGATACATTAATTTGTTTGTGAACATGATTGCTTTTCTTTTGTTTTTGATGGATTTATCCATTCATATTTCCAGTTGGTTGCATGTAGAGGTTTTGGCGGATAGGTTCGTGCTGAATTTAACAAAATGTCTAGTAGTATTAGGGTATGATAAGAGGATAGTTCATGTGTAAGGTTTTCTAGCGCATAACCTATTAGTAGGTGTCTGACTCGGTAGGATCTTGTTGGCGTATTTGGGACAGCTACTGTTGTGTCAATTCTGGAGTTGAGATATTTGTTTAGAGTTTTTCCTGCTAGATCACTTATTCGGCTATTACATGCTCTATGTTTAGCGTTTAGGTTCTTACTTTAGGCTCCTACCATTATCACATTCTATCGAGTGTTGAGAAGATTTTCAATCTTTAGTTTGAAGTGGATTACCCAGACTTCTATAGACTGATATTAGCCGGATATCATACTGACCTAAGTAGTTACAGTTGAATGATTGTTGGTAATCGAATTCGTATGGATTTTGATTTGTAAGTGGCTGAATTTTTGAGTTATCAGAAAAGCTGTTTCAACCGTTGGTGGTCGATCGTTGATCAAGGATTTATTTTTTGGTTTTGTATGTAATAGAATTTGGAAATTGAAATGTGTGTTTGATAACAGGTGTGTTTCATTTAGTATGATTATGTCAATTTTCTTTTCTTGGATTAAATTTAGGAGTCCAAGACTTTTTCGATTTAACCTTGACAGTTCCAGAACATTATTCTAGTGAAATTCATAATTTGTTTAGTAAGTTGAGTAATAATGGACSTAATGCTACTATGGTGGGTATGATGGATTTTAGATCATTGTTCCCTGAGAAAATGTTTACATACAAGTTTAGGAGTTGCTTGGAAAATGACTTGATGTTATAGTTGTCTTTAGGTTTAGTATGATCAGCGTAGCTGATGTTTGGTTGAGTGAGATTTACTGATTCTGGTAATTTTGATTCGATTCGAGGTGACTGTTCTGATGATAGATTTTATCCGGTATTTTCAGTTTAAGTGGACGTCTCTTATCTGTCTCTTGCATGATGGCTGGACATTTCTTGAAATTCACTTGTATGGCTCCATCGCAGTTTATACATTTTGATTTTTCTTATGAATTTTCGGCGCAGTCTTTTACCTTATGTTGGCCAGCCCATTTAACACATTTCGAAGAAGCACCACAGTGTAAGTTTGAGTGACCAAATTGATGGCAATTGTAGCTGGTGTGGTTAATTTATATCTTTCTATTTTTAGTTCTATGAAAAACAACGAACGAAAGTTGAAGATTCCCTTATTTTTTGGTGTGTTATTTACAACAACCATGTGAATGGGAAGTTTCTAGTCTTGCTTACCAAAATTGTCTTACGTTGATTACTGTGTATTCTAGGTTGATCAGTTCATCCCTAACTTCAATGAATGTGACTTTTCATAGGAGATCTTTAATAGCTATGGTCTCTGAAAATGGGCTGTTATATATACCCGTTTTTGGATATGGTCTATCTCCTGATTGGACAGTCGATCTCGTTTTYGATGCGTCATTTGTGCATGTTTCTATATAGCGTGTAGGTTAAACGATGTTATTCTCATTTGCCATAACGTCCTTTTTTTGTCCAATCATTTGTTGGCTTTGAGAAAAGCCGATTTACAGTAGTTTGTGCCATTAAAATTCCTTAAAAAATGGTTTTAATAAAATATAATATTGAATTTGGAAAAATAAATGGTTAGCATGTTTGATTAGGTTAGGTTAGGTTATCATCAAATAAATAAATCTTCAATTTTAACAGAGTTATGACTCATAAGAATATACCATGATATTACAATATTTGTACATAGTTGTATACAAGTGCATGATGATTGTTTATTTAATATTTTTAACCTTTCAATAATGGAGTGAATTTTTTGCAGGCAAAGAAAAACTAAATATCGCGCCGAATGTGTCCGTTAGATTGGTACTCGAAGCTGATGGTACACAAATCGAAGATCCCGAATACTTCAAAACACTGCCAAACAACACTACTGTGTTATTACTCAGGGATGAGGAGTACTGGTACCCAGCTGAAGTTGACGCCATTAAGACAGGTAATTATACATTTTAAAACTTTTTATCATAATATTATTACTCTTTGTGACAACAATGCACATAACTACTACTATTGAAAATCATACACGAAATCCAAACTCATACTATATTACACCTGCAATAATGTAGTGCTGTGCTACACAGAAAATGCATGGTGTTTTAGCTGTAGAGCTTAGTACGTCTTATACGATATTCTACGATCGACATACAGAAAGTATTTGTCGTAAAATGTCGTATTATATTTACAATAATAATTATTAAAATATTATGACTTTATAAAATCAATTTCCCATTTGAACAGAAATTAAAACTTTTAGACAAAGAGTATTTAATAACTAAAATTCARTGTTATACAACCACCGAGTGTAATATTAAGTTATACTAATCAAGAAAATATATCGTACAAGTACTATTCGTCTAAAATGGAATTCATTGGTGGTATGGGATAAATTATATGATCTAAAAATCAGTTTAATAAANATACCATATTAAGTCTGAGTCGGTGCTCACCGTTGGCGAGTCGTCACTCAGTAATAATTTAATCTTTAATATAAATTATAAATTATCAACTGTTGTTTATTTTTAATGAAACTATAAATTACAAAWATAGGGGACGGAGTAACACACGTCCGACGACTATTGATACCTAAAATTCAGCGGACGGGGATCTTCGTTGACAGTTGAGGATGGTGTTTTACACAATTTGGGTTGAGTAACGACCACTGTATCAGATTCGCTTAAAAAAGTGGCGTCTGATAAAATGGTTTGACCAGGATACGTGAACTTGGAGAACTCAGATTTGTAAACCCTGAAAAGGGCTATTTTACGGTTCCCCGTGGTCATTSTACGGGTATCAGCCGTTCAGAAAAAAGATGATCGGTGTCGCTGTAGTTGTCGTCTTCGATATCCGCTGCTAAGTTGCTTCACAGCCAACTCACCTGATGCACCACAGGTTCTCGACTCACAACGACCGACACAATCGGTGACACGTCGAGGGCGTTTGTCAGACGTCTAGATTATATCGCAACCGATAAACGATTAACCGATTTTAAAATTAAATAGTCCTTCGTGAATTTTTCTATTTASTATGGTTTAAATGTGTTTGTAATTTGTATTATGAATTTTTTGAGTTATTTCCTATTATTTACGGACTCCCTGAACGTTGACATAAATAAATGACATTCTTATTGAGTGGTTTAAAACGAACCAGTCGTTTCCCGTTAACATTCTCAAAGTTTTGGATTGGAATTTGAAGTTGGAGTTGTTCCATCTTGATTTGGAAGTGTTTTCTGTCTACGCAGTAGTGGCATGYATAATTATGGATCTTATATACACATTAAAAATGTAGAGTTTGATTTTGAGAGGAAGCAGGCTGTGTTAATTAATGAAAGGACATAGTGAAAATTTTGCTCCAGATRCTTTCTGTAAWTTTTTTTTTTATATGATTGATGAAATTCAGTTTGGATTCAATGGTTAATCCTAAATATTTGACTGTATTGGACCAGTAATCTGGGTATTCCCAAAATGTATGGTTGTGACTTGATACATTAATTTGTTTGTGAACATGATTGCTTTTCTTTTGTTTTTGATGGATTTATCCATTCATATTTCCAGTTGGTTGCATGTAGAGGTTTTGGCGGATAGGTTCGTGCTGAATTTAACAAAATGTCTAGTAGTATTAGGGTATGATAAGAGGATAGTTCATGTGTAAGGTTTTCTAGCGCATAACCTATTAGTAGGTGTCTGACTCGGTAGGATCTTGTTGGCGTATTTGGGACAGCTACTGTTGTGTCAATTCTGGAGTTGAGATATTTGTTTAGAGTTTTTCCTGCTAGATCRCTTATTCGGCTATTACATGCTCTATGTTTAGCGTTTAGGTTCTTACTTTAGGCTCCTACCATTATCACATTCTATCGAGTGTTGAGAAGATTTTCGATCTTTAGTTTGAAGTGGATTACCCAGACTTCTATAGACTGATATTAGCCGGATATCATACTGACCTAAGTAGTTACAGTTGAATGATTGTTGGTAATCGAATTCGTATGGATTTTGATTTGTAAGTGGCTGAATTTTTGAGTTATCAGAAAAGCTGTTTCAACCGTTGGTGGTCGATCGTTGATCAAGGATTTATTTTTTGGTTTTGTATGTAATAGAATTTGGAAATTGAAATGTGTGTTTGATAACAGGTGTGTTTCATTTAGTATGATTATGTCAATTTTCTTTTCTTGGATTAAATTTAGGAGTCCAAGACTTTTTCGATTTAACCTTGACAGTTCCAGAACATTATTCTAGTGAAATTCATAATTTGTTTAGTAAGTTGAGTAATAATGGACSTAATGCTACTATGGTGGGTATGATGGATTTTAGATCATTGTTCCCTGAGAAAATGTTTACATACAAGTTTAGGAGTTGCTTGGAAAATGACTTGATGTTATAGTTGTCTTTAGGTTTAGTATGATCAGCGTAGCTGATGTTTGGTTGAGTGAGATTTACTGATTCTGGTAATTTTGATTCGATTCGAGGTGACTGTTCTGATGATAGATTTTATCCGGTATTTTCAGTTTAAGTGGACGTCTCTTATCTGTCTCTTGCATGATGGCTGGACATTTCTTGAAATTCACTTGTATGGCTCCATCGCAGTTTATACATTTTGATTTTTCTTATGAATTTTCGGCGCAGTCTTTTACCTTATGTTGGCCAGCCCATTTAACACATTTCGAAGAAGCACCACAGTGTAAGTTTGAGTGACCAAATTGATGGCAATTGTAGCTGGTGTGGTTAATTTATATCTTTCTATTTTTAGTTCTATGAAAAACAACGAACGAAAGTTGAAGATTCCCTTATTTTTTGGTGTGTTATTTACAACAACCATGTGAATGGGAAGTTTCTAGTCTTGCTTACCAAAATTGTCTTACGTTGATTACTGTGTATTCTAGGTTGATCAGTTCATCCCTAACTTCAATGAATGTGACTTTTCATAGGAGATCTTTAATAGCTATGGTCTCTGAAAATGGGCTGTTATATA